AAAAAAAGACAGCTGTATCAGTTATAGCTGCTTCTTTAACTTGTCAGTTGGAATGAATACAAAAATTAAAGCTCATTTGCAGAATTAAATGAGATAATACACAGGAAGTCTGATCACTATGTTTAGTACATACTAAGAGCTCAGTCAGATGTTCACTTCTATGATATGGATGCAATTATCAGCAAGGTTATGATAAATTACATATAATTTGTACTCTTTTTTCTAATAGTGCTTATTTCATAATGCCAAGGAAGAGAAAAGACTAATCTATCTGTATTCACACATACATAGAATTATGGGAATCAGATGGTAAAGTGAATTTGGTAAATACATAAATAGATATGTTCCAAAGGTGCCCTAGTTGCACAGTGCTTGGCTGCTGCCTCAAAGTAAGCTGTCTGAGCCCACCAGCTGCTCCGTGGAAGAAAGATGTGAACGTGTGAAACTTGGAACCTCTCTGGGGCGGGTTTACTCTGTCCTTCGGGGTTGCTGTGAGTGGGAATCAACTTGATGGAAGTGGGTTTAGTTTGGGATGTATTTGTGAGTACACATGTAGTTAGTAAAAGTAACTTTATGCTTATTTCCGTAGCTCTGTATTCTGTTATATTATTCTGTGTGTTCTTCTGGATCCCTTTTGTCTACTTCTATTATGAAGAAAAGGATGATGATGATACCGGCAAATGCACTGTGAGTATTTTTGTTTCAGAAGTCCTAATTTAGAGGGTGCAAAAAGGGATTATTTATTTTTCTTTCAAATTATTAAATGATTCTGGTTTAATTTTTTTTAGGGCAGCATTATCTAACAAATATGATTTGAACCACATGTGAAATTTAAATTTTTATAAAAGCTACATTTAAAAAGTAATATAAAGCATTAAGTATGTTGAAATTATTTTAATTTATTTTATTTGACATAATGTGTTCCACATGTTACTATAAATATAATTAGTATAAAAATTGAGATACTAAAATTCTATTCTTTTACAGTGTCTGTTGAATATAAATATGTATTTGATATGTCAGTATTACTATATGAGAGTATGTATATTTTATATTTTTGAAGATCTTGCTAAGTAATATACTGTTTCCACTTGACATCTAGCAAATTAAAACAGCCCTCAAATACACTTTGGGATTCGCTGTGATTTGTGCTCTTCTTCTCCTAGTTGGGTAAGTGTTGACATCTTTCCTTGAAAATGGAAATGTAATTTTTTAATACCGGCAGAAAAGAACTTATCTAAAATGAATAAAACTCTAACCAGGAAAAAATATATATATATATACAGAAGTAAAACCATTGACACTTATAAATGCATGTAAGCGAGAGGTCATGTCAAGAAAAGTGGTTCACACAGCTGTAGGAACATTTGGTTCAAGTCTTTATATCAGATGTTCAGTTGGATGATTTTCCTGATTCCTGGGAAACAGGAAGCTGGAAGACAAACCAGGAGGCAGGAAGAGCAAGGCTAGTAAATGCTGAGGTGGATTGGCAGATCGGATCTATGGCAGGCTGCTGGTACCTCCAATGATCAGCGGCAGTCTGGCAGGCCATGGGCTCAAGTCCAAAGAACTGGAGGTGGGTGCAACAGAGGTGAGACCCACATGATGAAGCAGAGAGAGGGAGCAAGTTCTCCACAGCATCAGTTCATGAAGTAGGCCACATCCTCAAGGAGACTTCAGTAGGCTGTGGCCTGAGTAGGGTTGCCTTGAGTTGTTTACATTATGCTAGGTCACCTTACAGGGGAGGTACTTCCTGCCAAACTGCTGAAGAGCCTGACTTAGCGGAGTGGACACAAAACCCAACTATCATACATACTACCCATCACCATTGAGCAGTGGCTGCAATGATACAATGAACATTTTCCCTTAGATTCTATCTAGACGTGTGAGATTGTGGTGTGATGTGTGCAGCGCATGTATGCTTTCATGCTTCAGTTTTACACACTGTCATCAAATAATACCTAATTCTTGCAGGTTTACTCGATAACATATTGTGGCCATCTCTTTATGAAGGGTAACTGTATATCCACAAGTTTTACCTGTCTTACCCACCTGTATTGGGACACAGTGTGTTAGACTGGTCTTCTCGAAATGATTGTTTGGAATTTATGATGATCCGCAATTTCCTTTTAACATAGTACCATTTTGATAAACACCCTTTATGCACCTTTTCAGGATTGACCCCCTTCAGACTTTTAAATCTCCTAAATTATCTTTGTCTTAACTCTCTTCCTTAATTCTTCTTCCTTAAGGATTTATATTAATATTAATACTTTTACATCTTTGTGTTAGAGTAAACCAGCCTCTAAAAACCACTGGGTGTGGTCCGTAGGCACAATGATAGGGTGATAATATATAGATTATAGTAAAGTCATAGAGAATAGGGAAGGTAGGAGAGAAGATGAAATAAAGAAGTCAGACACATTTCATAGTAAGTAATATGCTCACGTCTGGGATGGCCATTATGTCAGCACCCAGGTCCATTGAGAGAGCCTCTTTATTTCTAACCAAGGCCTATAGATACTTAGGGGTGTGCAAGTCTCCCTGATTACAGGTAACCACATAAATCACAAGAAGGGGGTGTACCATAGGCAAATGGGAGGGGGACGTTCAAGGGGTCTACATGCAATAGGAAGAGGAGGGATTAGGGGTACACATGTGACAAGATGGGCGGATCCTAGATTCAAGATGGCAACCTAACCTTAGTTGTCCTGGAGCTGGCCTGACAATTTCTCTGGGCTCTCAAGGGAAACGATCACTATCTTTATCAGTAGGGTGTGAGCTCCACCTATGGTGGGACAGACAATAGCCTGATTGCTCTGGCTCACTGATGCCTTCAGGGAGAAAACTTCTAAGCAGCTGACTAAACAATGAGCTAGCAAGTAGGAGACAAACTGGGGAAAAATCTTTCTGTATCCTACATGTTTATATATAGATTTAACATTTTATCTTTGTAAGATATTTGTCATTATTGAAGAGTTTAATTTTTATTCTATTTTGTTACGAAATATATTAAATGCAATTATGTTTTTAAATTTTTTCATTAGAAATTTGTCTCAGAAATTTTAATAAACAATTTCATTTATTGTATGAATTTGTGATGGATAGGAAATTAGTATTTTGTGTTTCCAGAAGTTCTTGGACTGCATATGTTTTATGTCAAGTCATTTCTAGTACCTTTTATCTGTCTTGATTTGTCTTAAAAAGTGTATTCATTGAAAGGGCAGTTTTTTTTTTAAACTTACCTTTGTTTTAAAGTTTTGGATGTTTTTGTTTGCCTTTGGAAAGAAAGGCAAATCTATTTACTTCTTTGTTGTTATGGAGTTTTCTACTCTGTAAATCAAATTATCTAAAACGGATCAACAAACTTTACAAGGCCAAAAATCACTGCCATCAAGTAAATTCTGACTTGTAGTGACTCTATTAAGGGTTCCTGAGGTTTTGTAACCCTTTATGGGAGCAGGCAACTTTATCTTTATCACAAAGAGCAGCTGATAGATTTGAACCACCGACCTTGTGGTTATAATAGTCCAATACTTATTACAAGGGTATATAATACATAGTTTAGGGCTTACAGGCACATGGCCTCTATAGCACTAACTCAGTTTTCCTTTGTAGCTCTACAGCAGTTATAAACATTACTTGAACATGTACTTGCTAAAACCTGATCTAGAACAGTTATAAACATTACATGAACATGTAGTTGCTAAAGCCTGATCTAGGACTGAGAGCCATTAGTAAAACCACAAAAAAAAATAACCAGGTTGTATAACACGGACAAAAGAGCTTCTGATGTTTCTCTAAAACAGACTGGTCATTTCATTGGAAATCAGTCTTTTTTTAAATAGTGTGATTCTGTGAATATTTTAATAGCAAAAAGCGCCAGTTTGAACAAGAGAGCATTCACTTATTATCCAAATATTTGCTGCATACATGTTATATTTCAGACACTGTACAAGGTATCAGTGAACAGGAAAGGATGACAGTTTCTATACCAGAGCACACATGCTAGTGGGAAGAAAGAAAACATTGCTGAGAGAAGGCAGCATGTAATAAGAGACTTGAAGTGATAGAGCCATTAATATATATGGGAGAGGAGATAAGGGTAGATAAGAACAACTCTATTAACCTCTTACTATAATGTAGATGGAACATGACTGTAGTAATAGAGATTTGAATCTGCCGTTTAAAATATCTTAGCTGTAATCTTTAAAAAAAAATATTTGTGTGTCTGTGTGTGTGAATTAGGTAGTGGGGTTTACATTTCACATTATCAACTCTTCATTCAGTAGTTAAAACCACTCTTCAATAACATTTGTCCTCTGTATTCTGCCTCCCCATCCCCTCCCCACCTCTTGATTTCTCTTCTCCTTCTTAGAGACCTCCATCCTCCCTTTCAACCCAGTCAATAACTGTCAGCCTTCTAGGCCACTGCTTCATCTTTTCACCCTTGTCTTCCCTACCTTCAGAAACTATAACGCCTGTTCCTTTTGATAGGCAAGTCTTTTTCCTGGGGTTTATCATTATAGTAGTGGTTTTATACAGTATTTGCCCTTTTATGATTGACTAACTGTACTTGGCATAATGTTTTCTGGGTCCATCCATGTCATGAGATGCTTCATAGTTTCATCATTATTTTTTAGGGATGCGTAGTATTCCAATGTGTGTTTTCCCAAAAATGATTTTAAAGGGGCATTTGAGGGCTTAAGTAGTGAATTGTATATAAATTGTAGGTGGGAAGACCCATTGTAATACTAGAGTTGAGAAATTAGTGGCAGAAAGTAAGTCATTAAAGAGTAGTGCAGAAGAAACAAGTGTGAAAGCTGTCCTAGAAGTTCAATATAACTTGGTGCTTGGGTATGGTGGCGGTTGTTAGCGGCCATCGAGTTAGCGGTTGTTCCTACCCATAGATACCCTATGCACAGCCAGAGGAAACACGGCAAAGTCTGCACCATCTTCACAATTGTTTCTTCACCATGCCTGAGGCCTTGTTGCAGCCATGGTGTCGATCCATTTAATCAAGGACCTTCCTCCTCTTCTCTGCCCTCCACTTCACCAACAAGATGTCCTTCTTTAGGCATTAGTCTCGTGACAGTACATCCAAAGTGTGTAAGACGATGTCTTGCCATCCTTGCCTCTAAGGAGCACTCTGGCTTTAGCTCTTTCAATAAAGATCAGTTTGTTCTTTTAACAGTCCATGGTACTTTAAACATTCTTCACCAGAATCACAATTCAGATGTATCGATTCTTCTTTAGTTTTCCTTATTCTGTGTCCAACTTTCATATGCAATGGATGTCCTCAAAGTAACATCCTTGCTTTTCACTGCCTTGTAAAGGTTTTGTACAGGGGATTTACCTAATAAAATGTGTATTTTTAGCTCTTAACTGCTGCTTCCATGAGCATTGGTTGTGTATTGAAGCAAGTCAAAATCCTTAACAACTTCAACCATTTCTCCATTTTTCATGTTGTTACCTAGCGGTCCAATTGTGAGGAGTTTGGTCTTCTTTACAGTGAGTCGTAATCCATACTAAAGGTTACAAAACCTTATCTTCATCCACAAGTGCTTTAAGTTCTCATTTTTTCAGCAAGCAAGGCTGTGTCTTCTGCATATTGCAGGTTGTTAATAAGTCTTCCTCCAATCCGGATGCCTCATTATTCTTCATGTAAGCCAGCTTCTCCAATTATTTACCGTGCATAAAGATTGGATACATATGGTGAGAGGATACATTCCGAATCACACCTTTCCTGATTTTAAATTGCTTCCTGATCCATGTATAAGTTCTTCATGAACAAAATGAAGTGTTCTAGAATTCTTAAGACAATTTGGTATGATCCATACAGTCAGATACCTTTGCATAGTCAATTAAATACAAGTAAACACCTTTCTGGTATTCTCCCCTTTGAACCAAGATCTGTCTGACATCAGCAATGATATGTCCTTTTCAGAATCCAGCCTGAACCCCTGGCAGCTCCTTGCCAGTGTACTGCTGTACCCATTGTTGGGTGAACTTCAGCAAAATTTTACTTGCATGTGATATTAATGATATTGATCTATAATTTGAGCATTCTTTTGGGGCACCTTTTTTGAAATGGGTACAACTATGAATCTCTTCCAGTCAGTTGGCCAAGTAGCTGTCTTCCAAGTTTCCTGGCATAGACCAGTGAGTGC